CACATGATCACCCTAAGCCTCAACCTAGCCGCCGATATTCTGCTGGTATGATCATGTCCAACCAAAAAGAAAGATCTGACAAAGCCTCATCTTTAGCTGGCCGAGACGGTAAAGGAAGAAACCTCAAGATGAGATTTGTTTGTCATTTTCTTTTCCCAACATAACAACTGATGCCACCTTTTCTTTCATTTTGCTCTATGTTTTGCTTTATAGACAAGTCCAGCATGTATGGTCAAGTTTCTCACACAGGTGAGCCAAATGGTACCCCTGACTTATCGCCTGGTGCAGCAAATGACGAAAATGGAGAAGGTGCAGTACTGAACAGGATCAATGATGAGTTTGATGAAGACGATCCATTTTCAAAGCGGAGGTATCATAGTTCAACTAGCGGTGTAGTTATTTCCTAGACATTGTGTATATTTCTTAAGCTATGAATTGTCAAATTATATTAAGCAGGAAGATGGATGGTGGCATTGAAGTCACTCCTGTGGTTAAACCAATCCGGGAACCACGTGTTGTTGTTCAAACTCTAAGTGAGGTCGACATATTGGATGATGGCTACCGTTGGCGCAAGTATGGGCAGAAAGTGGTTAGAGGTAACCCTAATCCAAGGTGTGTACCAACATTACTGATCAAGGCTTATACTTAAAAATTGTCTCCTCTGATATTTTAACTTGTAACTTCAATCTTTTCTAGTACTTGTGAATTATGACCTGCATTAGTTCGTTTTATTTTTTTCCCTGAATATATTAATTGGTTCCTCCAGTCTTATATCATAGACAGTCTGTCTATGGAAATGGGAAATTCAGATAATGTAACGTTGAGCTTATATATAATTAGGTCTAAAAGATTTCAGAGGATATGCTTGCATTACCTGTCAAAATATGGATTGACCGAGTTTTCAGTTTATATGGTGCATTCTATTGTAAATAAGTGAAACAAAAAGAGGTTAGGACTATTTAATAAGTGAAATGACTAAGGAGTAGTTGAAACTTATCAAACTTTAGGGGTAAGAATACTTTTTTTTTTTTTTTGTTCTTTCTAGTTTGGGTTAATGAATTTAGGACTTCTGTCCATCTATTTGACGTGCTAATTTTATATGTAGACATAATTTTTAAAATGGGTCAAGCCTTTTTGGACATGATAACAATTGTGTTTAAACAGTTCAGGAACTACTTAAACTGTTTACACAAGATTAAACCATTTTACCACATAAACATGTTAAATATGTTAAACTGGTCATGCAAGATTTGGCATTTTCTCTTATATTTAGTTCTCAATAAGCCTTTTATTATTTTGATAATGGTAAAATTTGCTTTTTTGAGAAGGATAAAGATAAAAATAATTATATTAACATTTTACTGTGTTTGTATGTATATTGCTTAAATCTTTTAGTTTTGAATTAAATGTAATGGTTGTATTTCTGGGATTATTGTAAATATAAGATAATCATAGTATTATTTTTTAAATAAGTGGCATATTAAAAGTGTTAGTTATGATTTGGGTTTGATAAAACATATTAATTATTTTTAAATAGGTTGAACGTATTAAAAAGTTTGGGTTAATTAACATGCAGTTAACTGTTGAGGCACGTCTTTAAAGAGGTTAGTCTTTTTTTTTTGGGGAAATCAATTTAATTTGTTCAGAAGTCAGTTAGATTTGAGTTTAAAAATTATGAAACAGGTAGTTTACCGTCTGAGTTTGGGTTTTGAATGTAGAATTATTAGTACCTTACGTTGATAGGACACCATTTAGACACAGATAAGACGAATTGTTACCACTAAAGTATATAACTTATGATTCTGGCTACTGTTTTGGTATATGATTATGTAGAATCATCGTGCTTCATAAACAATTCCTAATTGATTTAATTATGTTGCCAACGAAGTATTCATTTTATCTAATTTCCTTGTTTCCTTCGTTTGTGAACATTATGGAAATATACATTTAGCATCAATTAATTATCTTTCTTCCGGTTTAAATTGATCATTTTTAGTGTACAATTCATTAAATGTGTTGCTCAAGCTAAAATTAATACCAACCTTGAGCAGAGACCCTTGCACAGTAGCATTATCTTGCAACTTCAACGCAATGTATAAGTGGCAAATTTCATTTTCGTGTGCTTCGTTTCCAGTTGGTAGTAAACATAATAGGCATTATATATAAGAAAAGACAACTGAAGAAATAGATATTTATGGATATTTATGGGTCATTTTACCCCATGCAGTCTTTTGATTAGCATTTCAAGGATTACATTGCTTAGTTGCTCTCACTTTGGTAATAATTGGCCCACAATTTGCCTGAGAAGCCAGACTTGCTCTTGGCTCATCCTACTGTTCTGCTGCTGATGACAGCCTGATCAACGTAGATTCAATATTTTGTTTAAATATGACAAGACTTCTGCTACTTATTCTGTTCATAGTTGGATCTTGTAGGTTGATCATGATCTATCAAGCTTGCAGCTCTCTGTTAGATGAGCCTTTGTAACTGTTTGTCTACGGACTCTTTTAGTTTCGGAAAATTGTTATCAGTTTTCTATTTCTAAGAAAAGAAGATGGTTTTCAAATGTTTTCTGAATTGGAAGGAAAATGTTCTAGCACTACAAAACAGTCTTTATTTTAATCAAACTGGACATGTTCTTGATTTGTTTTCAGAAAAATATATTATTCTTTTTGAAACCTGGAAACACTTCCTGGAATCAAACATCAGAGTGTTTAACTTGAATTTTACATGTATAAGTATATATAGACAGTTTCTTGAAATTCGTGAGTAACAAATTCTTCCTGGTATTACTCAAATTAAACATGTTTTTTATTTGTTTTCAGAAAATATTTTTTTGAAACCTGGAAAGAAGTGGATTTAAATGATTTGGATATTTACTTGAATGTTATATGTACATACACACATATAGTTCCCATGAGTACTGAACAATTTGTTTTGAGAACCAAGAATATCTCTGACCGTGGTCCTCTTCCATAATGTCTTTGCTTACTGACTCGAGTATTTAATTTATTGTTCTTTGTGACAATCTATCCTTCACTGCATTATGGTTTCATATCATGCTCACACTTTGTGCAGGAGCTACTACAAATGCACAAATGCTGGCTGCCCGGTAAGAAAACATGTGGAGAGGGCATCACATGATCCAAAAGCAGTTATAACCACATACGAGGGGAAGCATAATCATGATGTGCCTACAGCAAGGACTAGTAGCCATGACACTTCTGGAGTGGCTCTCAATGGGGCTTCAAGGCTCAGACCTGAAGAAAACGATGCAATCAGCCTTGATCTTGGTGTTGGTATCAGTTCTGGAAATGATAATAGATTGAGCGAGCAGCAGCAAGTGCATGCTGAGCTTATCCAAGGCCAAACACGGGCAAATACTGCTGCCAGTTTCAGATTAGTTCCAGCAGTTCCACTCGCATCCTATTATGGTGTTGTAAACAGTGGCCTGAATTCCCATATGTCTCGGGAACCTCAAACTGAAGTTCGAAGTGTTGAACTTCAACCGTTAAACCATTCTTCTTACCCGTATCCACCAAACATGGGAAGAATACTTTCGGGTCCTTGATTTGTTGATGTAACGGGCAAAGATAAAATTTCTGTTTGCTTTTTTCCTTGAACTCATGCCGGCACAAGACAGGCTAGAATGTTAAATTTGGAATTGAGTTGTTATACATACATATATATATATATATATATGATAGCATAGTGTGAGAGAGCTAACCTTTGTATTAACTGCCTCAGGAATCACCTTGTGTCACTTGTTTGTAACATTGTCTGGTTGTACAAAGATTAAACTGATACAGGTACACTTTCTTCTGAGATAAGAGTACTGTATTTACTACGGGGAGTTGTTGAAATGGAATCTGTAAGAAATATGTACTCAAGGAAAAAAGTCCGGCAATCCACTACTCTTTTTTAAGATTTCTGCCGAGGGTTTTGGCATTGTACCATGTTCATTTTCTGGAGGGTATGAATTATCTGATTACTATAAATTGTTATTTAAGTAATCACTATCTATAAAATTATTGAATTACTATAAAATGCTGAACATATATATATATATACATATATAATTTTACTAGACAGTAATGGTTTG